TGCTGGAGCCTCATGACGACATACTTGCCGTTCTTGTTGAACATGAGGATGGGGGTCTCAAGATCAACGAACTCACGAATGCTATTGAAGCGTATTAGTCTGCGGCCGACTACCAAAAGCCCACATGACTGTGTGGGGGCTCCAAGAAATAAAGGACTCACAACTGTCTGCACATGCCGCATGGGCTGCAGGGGGCATCGACGTCGGTGGCAACAGCAACAGCCTTGAAGCCCCGGATACCGTCTGTGATGGCCTTGCCAAAAGCTACTCTCTCGGCGCAAGTGCCGACTGGGTACGACGCATTCTCGACGTTTGCTCCGTCGGTAAATCTGTCATCGTTGGACAACAGGGTTGCGCCGACGCGGAATTTGCTGTACGGGCAGTAAGCCGTCGCCTTGGCCGCGGTTGCCCTCTTCTCCAGCTCCTTCACCTGGTCAGGCGTCAAGCCGTACTTCTTTGCCGTGTCCACCGTCTGAGAGTCATTGGCAATATCGAAAACTTCCGGAGTGAACGACATGATGAAATTCGAGAAAGGGGAAGAAAGAAAAGGAAGAAGAGGGAAGGGATGAGGTTGCGGGAAGGGTGGGGTTGAAAAGACTCTGGATGATGTGCAGTTGGTCTAAGATGCTGAGAGTCCGTGTGAGCTTGGCTGTTGTTCGGGTGCGATGGCTTACCGGACGGGTCCACGGGTGCTAGAGCGAAGGTGTGTTGGGGCAGTCACTTGGTGGGACACCTTCTGAAAGCTGCCACTGGAATGTTCCATTTATGGGGGTCTGTACCCCGCGGCCGTCTCCGACATCCGTTTGCGTTTGCCAAAGTTCAATCATGTTTGCTATCAATTTTGGAACCGGAACCCGCAACGAAGCGATACAACGAAACCCCATCTCACCAACCATCGCAGATACCCGTCAAGACTTCCTGCCTTCTTGGGCAACCTACATTCCCGGGTGATGGCACCGGATTGGACGGGCAATTCCCCATATGACCAACCACACAGTTCTCGGCGCCTCTGGAGCGAGTACCCCGCAGTCCGCTCATTCCTCATGGCCTAAAGATTACGGGTGGGCTTTGCCGATGGGAATCGTAAGCGGGTTCATGGCACTAGGGATCCAGCTATCCGTGAGCTAATGGCCTTGATCACGGGGTGCGCCTCGCGCAGTGGGATGCCCGCGCGGAGGCTTGTCGCTCGGGGTTTGACTTACGACGCGCCGCCATCGACAACCAGGTTTGCTCCCGTGATATAGGAGCTGAAGCCCGATGCGAGGAATCCAGCTACCCGTGCCACTTCTTGTGGATTGCCTGGCCTTTCCAGACCTATGGTGGCCTTTGAAGCCTGCGGAGCCTCAGTCATTAGTTGTTAGGTTGACATCAGGATGTCAACTCACTTCTTGGGTCTGGAGGCTTGCAGGGGGGAACTGGGAGTTCATCCCCTTGAGATCGATCTGTCAAATTCGTCAGCACATTCTTGTCGATCACAAAGTGCCCATTCGTACCCCGTTCAAGTCCAAGCCAATGTCAATCTGGCCCGGTGAGATGCAGTTGATTCTCACTCCTGTGCCTTTCAAGACCGCAACACCAGCCTTCACGACACCAAGCGCAGCATGGCTGGCCACCACATATGCGGGCCCCCAACAGCCGCCGTACGTTGATGCCACGCTGCCGATGACGATGATGCTGCCGTACTTTTGCGTCTTGGGCGCGGCATTGGGGTACGACTTCTTCTCTGTGAGCTTGGCCATGGCCGCAGGCGCGTATTTGAGCGCAAAGAATGGTGCTATCGAATGCGCCTCGAGGCAGCGTTGCAGGTCTGCCGGTGTTGTCTCGGTGATGGATGGCGGACCCAGCAGGCCGGCCGATGACACCCATATATCGAGACGCCCAAAGTTGTTAAGTAACTCGTCAATAAGAACGAGCGTCTCTTCTTCCTTGGCTACGTCGAAGGGGTAAGGGATGATTTTCGTGTTTGGGTGCTCGATGTGGACCTTGTCGACCAAAGGTTTGAAGCCTTCATCGCTGGCCGCCTTGTCGCATGCTGGAAAATGTCAGCCCAAGATAAACCATTGCCGTGAAGAGGGTCTCAAATTGTTAGACTGACCGTATATGGAAGCGGCGCCATGTGCTGCTCTCGCGCGTTAGGGCTACTTATGAGTGATATGACGGCATAGGTGTTGGGAAATCATACCGGCCAGTTCCTCGATGATAGCCTGCCCAACGGGCTGGGCGGCGCCAGTTACGACGCAAACAAATCCGTACTGATCTAAAATGAATCTTCCTCGACGCCAGATAAAATTGCACTTGACTCACGAGCTTTCCATCGGCACGGTAAGGGCTGAAATCAATGGTGGTATCCATGTTAGATGTAGTCGCCAATCATGAAGGTACAACAGTCTGGACAGAATCAACTGGGAAACGACTCGCGAAAAGTCGATGCTGGGTTATGTAAATATTGATTGACGTCCATGATGCTAGATGTAATGGGGAGAATCGCATATCTTCTCACGTCCAAACCATTTATTCTGGTGGTCTGGGCCCGTGGATGGGCTGATGCCGTCACCTCCACGCCAGACGTAAACCAGCCGAAAGATGCTTCTCCGAGGGACATCAACACCCCGATCATGGAGGCGCACAACAACCAATACATCTATCTCAAGCCTCGATAAGAGATAAGACATGAGCGCATGAAGTTTGTATCCTGGCTGCTCCATTTTTCTCTCTCTCTCTCTCTCTTGCTTCAATGTGTACTAAAAGCCAGTCGCAAGCACACGCAAAAACGCGCTATGTCACGACATGGGAATTAGGCCCAGCAGCACATGGGAATGTGGTGGTTTTCCCTGGTGGACGGCCCGCCGCGGGGGTGGGTAACTGCTCGGTCTGTCATTCATATTGGGCTTACGTGATTGGTTGCCAACGAAGCCTGAAGAATGGTTGATTTGCCCCGCCATCTCAATTCGACATTCAATCACATCGCCGCACCTGTTAAGGCTCGTTCCGACAGAGTCATTTCTTGAGATGCCATAACCCATACCTATACCGAGTCGGCATATCCTTGACAAGATTTCTTTCCATTTGATGCCGTAGGTTCGCAGCCATGACCCCAAGTCTGTGGTGAATGAGGAGACAATTGCCAGCATGGACAATGCCCGTTGCGCTCGCAGAGTCTGCAACCAATTCATTCAATGACGGTAGCTTCATGTACTAGGACATGATACAGGACCCCTGTCCAGTCTTCCATGGTTGAGATTGTTCGGCAGGTGTAAATATGGCTATCTTTCTGGTAATCTGAGCACTGACGGCATTTGACACGACGGTTCCTGACCGTTCTTCCCAGCGTCATTCCGTCCCTCGGACGACAACCGTCTGAGCGTCGTGAGATACGCGCCGCTTGCAGATGGCGACGAGATCAGAGAATAAACAGTTGATCAAAGAGATCAGCGAACAGGAGGGTTACATGTCCGCCCCACGCAACCAATGCGGGACGCCCTGCCTTGGGGTGTGAATTGGGTCAAGGGGACCTGACAGCAAGGGGGTTCGCAAAGAGAATTGACAGTTTGAACAGCCCAAAGTCAAAGGAGACAAAAGGCAGCAGAGAGCTTTGAAGGTTGAACTGATGTCGTGGGGGTCCCGCTATTGCTTTGCAGCAGTTTCGGGTGGTCCCTTCAGACAGTTGATTAGCCGGGTTGAAACGTGAACCCGAAGGCACGTATTCGCTTGGCGGTTTGCTGGCACATTCCTGGCTTCGAAGCGCCATTTATTAAATCCTGACCAGAGCTACTGACGGGTAACCTGGCAGTCCTTTCGTCTGCCGACGGTTGATACCGAACAACCATTGGGTTCCGTGTTCCGTGGCATCCTATCGCCGACAGGAATAAAGTCCGTGGGTGAAGCATTGGCACCCAGGAAGGTGTGGATAACGATGACGGATGAGAAATCCAGACCCGCTTAGCTAAGACTTGATCGGGGGGTGGAGAAGAGAGTTCTGCTCGAAATTGTTAGAGGGGTACTTTGGATGCATGGGATAAGAATAGCCTCTGCGGCGGGTTAGGGGAGGACATTCAGGCTGGACGCAGCGAGCGATTGCGCGGTGAAAGACCCTTCAGGACGCAGGAGCCTGGATTTTGCCTGCCTCCCAGGCAGGTGGTTGCCTGCCCAGAGGGTGCCCCAGCAGGTCCAACAGCGCCCAGCACCCAAAGGTAGGTTACGGCGCAGCTGGAGCATGGCAAGCGGATCAGGGTCCTCCTCGGGTTTGCTGGAGGGTCGTTGGAGGGTTGTTGGACCCCTCGGACCGGATCTGGCAGGACATTGCAGGTATTGCATCATCAGCACCGCCACTGTGGCTCAAAAACATTCTACACCTTTCCATGGGATTCAGATTGGGGCCCTTTGGGCGCGGGAAATGCGCAAGGCGACCCGCACTCGCAGCCTGCTTTCTCCCTTTATTTTGAAAAATCCAATGTCCCGTCACTAGCGTAGCCGGTCCATTCAGCCCAGGTAGATTTCCACCCTTTTCGCTCCCCGCCACGAATTGCATCAATAATTGCCTGCCCCCAGCCCGGCCTCGACCTTCCTCAATCTTTTTCAACTTTTCTCGCTGCAACATCTCTTTCCCGTTTACCAGATACCCAGTTGCGCAGACAACTTTGTGCCGACCATTTTCAGAAGGTATGTTTGCAACCTCTCTCGTTTGATTTCCGCCGGCGCAAACCTCAAGGTGAAGGCGAGGTGGCGGATACACTTTCTCTGTTCGCCTTGGTCAGCCAGCCTTATCCTGCGATTCCTGCTGCGCCCAACACCGAGGCCTCCTTCCTGCGCAAACCCTTCTTCCTACAAATTGCACAGGCAGAGCAAGTTCGATGACCAGAGGCCACGAAATCTACAAAACTCTGGCTGTTCGTTTTCGCTGACAGGCTCCGACTCCGCAGGCCCCTCCAAGGACCCTTACCCCCCAAATTCCGATTTCAGCGCCAAGGTTTTAGATAAGGATTACCGTACCGACATACACCATGGTCAAGGAAACGAAGCTCTACGACACCCTCGGCGTATGTTCCCATGGCATATTCTTTGTATGGTCGTTCGGAAATATTAACGTGGGAGACAGGTGGCGCCGACTGCGACTGAGGCGGAACTGAAGAAGGCCTACAAGACGAATGCCCTGAAGTACCACCCTGGTATGTGAATCAAGTTGCGTTGTTCTGTCAGGAGCTTGCTGACGGACTGCAAACAGACAAGAACGCCCACAACCCCGAGGCTGAAGAAAAGTTCAAGGAGGTCTCCCACGCCTACGAGATCCTTTCCGATTCCCAGAAGCGCCAGATCTACGACCAATATGGCGAGGCCGGTCTTGAGGGTGGTGCCGGCGGCGGTGGTGGTATGGCTGCCGAGGACCTGTTCGCTCAGTTCTTCGGTGGTGGCAGCTTCGGCGGTGGCCTCGGCGGCATGTTCGGCGGTGGCGGTATGCCCAACCGCGGTCCCCCCAAGGCCCGCACCATTCACCACACTCACAAGGTCTCTCTCGAGGACGTCTACCGTGGCAAGATCTCCAAGCTTGCCCTTCAGCGCTCCATCATTTGCCCCAAGTGCGAAGGTCGCGGTGGAAAGGACGGCGCCGTTAAGCGCTGCGCCGGCTGTGACGGCCACGGCATGAAGACCATGATGAGACAGATGGGTCCCATGATCCAGCGCTTCCAGACCGTCTGCCCCGACTGCAATGGCGAGGGTGAGACCATCAAGGACAAGGACCGCTGCAAGCAGTGCAACGGCAAGAAGACAATCGTCGACCGCAAGGTTCTCCACGTTCACGTCGACCGCGGTGTTAGGAGCGGCACCAAGGTTGAGTTCCGTGGTGAGGGTGACCAGGCCCCTGGCATCCAGGCCGGTGACGTCGTTTTCGAGATTGAGCAGAAGCCCCACCCCCGCTTCACCCGCAAGGAAGACGACCTCCTCTACCAGTGTGAGATCGAGCTTGTCACTGCTCTGGCTGGTGGAACCATCTACATTGAGCACCTCGACGACAGGTGGCTCAGCATTGAGATCCTGCCCGGTGAAGCTATTGCGCCTGGTATGTTTGACGATCCCGTCGTTTTCCATACGGACCAACTAACAACCTGCAGATGCTGTCAAGATGGTTCGTGGCCAGGGTATGCCTTCCCCGAGACACCACGACTTCGGAAACCTGTACATCCAGTTCAGCGTCAAGTTCCCTGAGAAGAACTGGACCGACGACCCGACGGCCTTCGAGGCTCTCCAGAAGCTCCTTCCCGCCCCGTCTCTGCAGACCGTGCCTCCCCCTGAGGCCATGACCGAGCCTGCCGACCTCGAGGATCTGGACAACAGCGCACAGGCTAAGGTCTTTGGCGGCGCCGGCTCGATGGACGAGGATGACGAGGATGGTCCCCACGGCGCCGAGCGCGTGCAGTGCGCTTCCCAGTAGACGACATAACTTCTGACGATATTTGACATTACGAGCATCTTCGGCGTGTTGGGGAAGGGGGCGTGGATCGAGGCAGTTCTTCACATCTGTTCTATGGAACGGAAATGCATATTTTCCCAGTCACGAATGGATGGAAACGGTTGCATGGAAATGGTAAAGAGAGGCCTGCCATTCGGCGGCTGCATGTGGGAAGAGGCAGCAGCTGACTGGACGCCTCGACTAGATGCGCTGAGTCGGTTCGTCGAGAATGAAGGCTGGATTCCGATGGACCAGCACAGTACAGGGATTTCTGGTCCAGCGCTTGCGTGTTAAAAACATCATTTGGCTTCTTTGCTCGACGGACATCGAGACTTGGTAGGAAGGCGTTCACGGTTTCACGGTCATAGAGGATAATCCGTTGAATCGATTTGATGATACACATGTTTTTTGGTTTTGTCTATTACGAAGATGTGACTATGATGCCTCCGCTGGCTGCTCAGCCTGCTCAGCTTCCTCGCCTTCTTCACCCTGCTCCTCGTTCTTCTTGCGCAAATCTCCAATGTTGTACAGCAGCTTGCGTACTTGTTCCTGGGTCAGATCAAACTCACTCTCCGTCAAGCTCGCATCCTGGGGTACGAAGTCTTGTGTTGTTGAGAAGGCGGCGCCGGTCCACTTGTAAGACACGAGGCCGTTGTCATTAGTGCTCGGCTCCGCCGGGTCAATCGTGACGAGGATGGTACTCAGAGGACTACCGCTGGAGATGGGGGCAACGTGCAGAGGGTTGCCTGGGAGAGAGGCTGTCTGTACGTGGGACAGAGTGTTTTGTTCTGAGACACGGAGCACGAAGATTGCAGGGACACTAAGTAACGGATCAGTGTGAGCACTTCACGACATGGTGAACAGAGACGTACCCCTCACAGACCACCAAAACAACGGACACCGGCAGGCCATTGGCGAGGACAGTGGCAGACAGGAGCTGGGAGACCGCGACCTTGGCAGCCTCCTGTTCGACCTGGCGAACCTGCTCCAAGATGTCGAACTTGGACAAGATGTTGCCGGCCTCCCAGTCCCATACGAACAGCTCACTGTCTCCACCTCCCGAGACGAGAACGTCTTGGCTGGGAAGAGTCAGGGCGCTGACGAAGTTGGTGTGGCCAAGACAGAAACCCTCGATAATATGGGCGTGGGGCATGTAGCGCGAGACACGAATATGCTCATCGCGGTCCGCGGTGATGATGTACCGGCGGGATCCCTTCTCGGCGAGCGTCATGGCGGTGAGCATAGAGACGTGGCCAAGCAGGAGGGTGTGCTCGAAGGTCGGATCCTCCTTGGGGGCGTCGCGCTTCGACTTGTTCATCTCACGCTGCTGGTTCTTGAGGGCGCGGAGGTTGGCTTTGGAGTGCACAGTGAAGTTGCTGGCTTCAGGCTTGAAGGGCTGGGCCTCTGGCGCTTGGGTTGCCGGCCCGGCGGGCTCCTCGGGAGCATCAGTGGAAGCAGGCTTATCAGAGGGGATAAGGGGCAGGGAGAAGACATCGCCAAACTTGTCTGCGCTCAGGATCGTCTCGTCGTCTGGGCAGATGAGAACGGAGCAGGGGCGTTTAGGCATTGTTCTTTACATGTGTTAAAGTCTATCTCACCCAGAAAACGGGAGACGAGGGCTGACATACCTCTGGCTCAGCTCTTTCAAGCCGCCCTTGCCGTCGTGCTCGAGTACCCACAGGCCCTTGTCATGACCTGAGATGGCAAGCAAGTGACTGCCGGTGCTGGTTGTTGTCATGAGTGTGATGACGGGCTGGTCCGGAACTCGCGCAAAGCGATTGCTCTGCTGCTGATGTTGGGCCTTGTTGCCCTTGTTTCCCTTCCTCCTGTCCTTTTTGCCCTTCTTCTCGTTTTCGTTCTGCTGCTGCTGCTGATCTTCGGCCTGCTTCTGAGGTTCGTCCACAACCATAGCATCGCCGTCCTTGGCCTCATCCTCCTTCTCAACCCTCTGGCGCTTGGCTGGTGGGCCATCTGCATCGTTGGTCGGGGAAGCAGGTGTGGGAACTCCTGAGCTCACTTCGATCTCAACCTTTGCTGCGGCGTTGGCGGCCGAGGCAGCTGCGACCTTCTCGACGTCGGGGTGCTTCCATGTTGAGATGTGAGAGCCGTCTTGCAGGCTGAAGGAGTGAATCTTGCCGCCCCTGGCAGCAAAGATGACGTTGCCGCAGGGCTGGACAAAGTTATACGGAATCTTCATCGTGAGTACGGGTTGCTGGAAGTTGAGTAGGCTCAATTAGATCAATTGAGCTTGTCTACACCAGGAACTGAGGTCAGAATAGGACTTTCACTGAAGAACTCATCGGCCATCTGAAATGCGCCCCACCATGGAAGTGAAAAAAAAGATACTTCCAGTATGTATCTTTTTTTCTCGAAAGCTTGGACCACCGTACCTACCCTGCAGCAGCAGATGCTAGACCCTCTCACCTCAGACCTGCAACCCCCGGCCGCCCGTTGGTTGCCCTAAGGTCCAGCGGAATTGGCTGGCTTGTCGGCCCCGGGTGGGTCCACACATTTTCGCGAAGCAGCAGAGAGCAAAAACCTTTTTGCTTCGCGGAGGCTCTTTTTTCTTTCCTGCTACATCACCATTTTGATACCCCAATTTCCCATCAACCAACAAGGAACAAATTCATTTGCCCTTAAACATCCTGCCTTCATAAAATAAGAAGATATGGGGGGCAAATCTGCGAACAAGGCCGGCTACTTCGACAAGCTCAAGGGCTTGCTCGAGGAGTACAAGTCCATCTTCATCGTCTCCGTCGACAATGTCTCGTCTCAGCAGATGCACGAGATCAGACAGTCCCTCCGTGGTGAGGGTGTCGTCCTGATGGGCAAGAACACCATGGTACGTTTTCTCGGGGAGCCAATGGCGAGTCAAACATCGCGCGACACGATGCTAACAAATATTCCAGGTTCGCCGTGCCCTCAAGACCTTCATCCCCGATGCCCCCGAGTACGAGCGTCTGCTCCCCTTCGTCAAGGGCAACGTCGGTTTCGTCTTCACCAACGGTGACCTCAAGGACATCCGTGACAAGATCCTCGCCAACAAGGTCGCTGCCCCTGCCCGTGCCGGTGCCGTCGCTCCCTCCGACGTCTGGATTCCCGCTGGCAACACCGGCATGGAGCCCGGAAAGACCTCTTTCTTCCAGGCCCTCGGTGTCCCCACCAAGATTGCCCGTGGTACCATTGAAATCGTTTCGGACCTGAAGCTCGTTGAGGCCAACACCAAGGTCGGCCCCTCCGAGGCCACCCTCCTTAACATGCTCAACATCTCTCCCTTCACCTACGGTATGGGCGTCGCTCAGGTCTACGACCAGGGCAACACCTTCCCCTCTGAGGTTCTCGACATCTCCGAGGACCAGCTCCTCAAGGCCTTCGGCGGTGCTATTGCCACCATCGCCGCTGTCTCCCTGGCCATCAACTTCCCCACCCTTCCCTCCGTCATCCACTCCTTCTTCAACGGCTACAAGAACGTTCTCGCTGTCGCCATCGAGACCGAGATCAGCTGGCCCGAGATCGAGGAGCTCAAGGACCGCATCGCCAACCCCGATGCCTACGCCTCTGCCGCTCCCGTCGCCGCTGCCGGTGGCGCCGCTGCCGAGGAGGAGACCAAGGCTGAGTCCGAGAAGGACGAGGAGTCTGACGAGGATGGTGGCTTCGGCGGTCTCTTGTATGTTTTCTCCCTACCCCCTTCCAGTGATGTGTTGCAGTGTTTGCTAACTCCTTTCCCAGCGACTAAATGCTTTGACGGGAAATCGGTGTTACGACGGCTTCTATCTGGGTTACGACTGGGTTTACGACGACATGTCGATCTAAAGCACGGCTACATAGATGGGTTGCCGGTCAATTAAGCACATCGCATTTGACGGCAAAACTGGCTCATGACTGATAAAATGGTGAACGTGACATGCTTGAAGCATGCTCGTCTCAAACTCCAAAAGGTTAGTTTCCACTCCTATTTCACTTTCACTTACCCACCTGCGTCCTATGATTATATAAACGTTCAAGAGCTTTTTAACCCTGAATCTTTCTTGATGACACACACATCACCACCCTATGAGGATGCTTCACAAATTTATTTTTCTTCTCGTTCAGCCTATTTTTACTGGGTATCATGGCTAATGTACACAAAGTCGCAGGTCCTATAATACAAATGGTGCCCTATCCAGCGTGTCCCCTTTTGCTTCGTTGCATGTGTGTTTGAGTTGTGATGTACAAGATGAGGCTCTTAGTGATCGAGCACTTGCTTGGCGATCTTGATAGCGTGCTCCGGCAAATCAGCCAGTCGCGCAACTTTCAGAGCATGGCTCTGTCGGTTGATACCCTTCTGTAGCCTATGAATATAGACAAATCCGCCATCTTCGTCCTCCTCCACGTCCGTGCAGTATGTGTCCACGCCTCCGTTCTGTAAGAGCCCCTCGGCCTCGGCCAGGTCTGCCACCTTGTGAAAATGCGTCGCAAAGAGCACACGGCATTGGTTGATTGTGACCAGATGGTGCAAGCATGCGTACGCGACCGCCGCGCCGTCTTCGGGCGTCGTTCCCCTCCCGATCTCGTCCATGATGACGAACGACCGCGGCGTGGCATTGCGGAGAATCTGTGCCGTCTCCATCATCTCCACCATGAAGGTGCTCTGGTCCCGGTACAGGTTATCCGCCGAGCCCACACGGCTGAAGATGGCGTCCACGATGCCCATCTCCGCGTAGTCCGCGGGCACGTAGCAGCCGATCTGCGCGAGTATCGTGATGAGGGCGTTCTGTCGCAGGAACGTGCTCTTGCCGGCCATGTTGGGGCCCGTGATCAGCCACAGCTTCCCGGCTGAAGGACCGCCCACGAGACAGTCGTTTCGGACGAAGCTGCGCCCCTGCTCGTGTAAGCCGCCCTCCACCGTAGGATGTCTGCCGCCGATGATGGTGTGCGCCGACGAGTTGTTGAGCAGCGGCCGCGTCAGCCCCTGCTCCTCGGCGAGCTTGGCGAACGATGTTGCAATGTCGAGCTCGTCCAGCACGGCGGCGTTGCGGCGCAGCTTGACGAGGTTTAAGACGACGGCGGCGCGGAGAGCGTGGAAGACGCGCTGCTCTTCGGTGCGGATGCTGTGCTGGGCCTGTTCGAGCTGCTGGCCGAGATGAGTCCATTCGGGCTCGTGGAACGAACGTGTCGAACGGCTTGCGCTGAGGGCCTTGATGTCGGCGGAGACGGAGCGAGCATCTTTGCCTTTGATGTGGCAGAAGTGGCCGAGAGCGGGGCTCCAGCGGAGGGTCAAGGAAGTGGCGCCGTGGTGTTCGCGGAGGTCTTCCGTGAGTGTTTCCTTCTTGGCATGAAGAGTGGCCAGATCATTGTGGAGTTCGCGGAGAAGTTTGCTGGCGTTCGGCTTCATGATCCACGTCTCGTTGTCGTCGGCGTACGCCTCTCGCACAGAGGTCGGGCGTTTCTTCTTGGCAGCCGCAGCAGCACCCTTTGGCAGGGCGTCGGCGTCTTCTTGTGAGCCTTCCATGCTCACGATTTCCTGCGCGAGAGACATCATTTGTCCTGCCTGGCTCTCTTCGATCTGATGTTGATGGATGATGCCTTCTTCGTCGATGACTTCCTTGATGCGACGTGCCATAGTCAAGGGCTTCTTCAGGTCGAGTCGAGAGCTCATCCGCGATAGGCATGCGGACTCGTCGGATGCTGCTAGAAGCAGCTGCTTGATGCTGTCAGTGGCCTGAGTGGTGTTGGCTAGGGCTACTAGGTCGTCCGGGTCTCCTCGGCCAAGCGCAAACTTCTGCACCAGCCGCTGGGAATCGTGGCTGCGGCGGAGCAGTACAACCACAGCGTCCCGCAAGTCCGGGTCTTCGATGAATCGTGCGACGAGATCCTGCCTCAGCTTGATGACCTCGAGGGATGTTGACGGGGCACTGAGCCAATCATTGAGCAGACGAGCACCGCTCTTCGTGACAGTCCGCCGGATGGCGTGTAACAGGCTGCCGCGGAAGTTCGCATCTCTGATGGTCTGTTTAATTTCCAGGGAGCGCATGCTGTTCTTGTCTATGGTCATAATTTGCATGTTCTCATGACGCTGCGGCGGCTGCAGCTTCATGCTTAGCCCCAGTAGCCGCTCCTTGACGTAGTGGAGGAGCAGACTCCCCGCCATCACCTCATCGTCAGTGAAGGCGTCCCGGACAGGCTGCGGGATCTCAGTCTCGAGCATGGGTGTCCAATCAGAAAGACGCCTTATTTCGCCGAACTGGCTATACGTGACCAGGTGCCGGTCCTCAGCCAGTATGGAAAACAGCCCATGGCCGGTTTGGGTCTGGAGCTCGCTGTCTAAGACGACCTCTCTGGGGCATATTCTCGACAAGATCGAGGGCAGCGCTGTGAGATCGGAAGCCTGAGTGTAAAATTGGCCGGTGGACAGGTCCAACCACGCGAGGCCCAGTGGTAGTGGTTCGGCAGGGTCACCAGCTGCCGGAGTCAGACTCCGGTCAGCGGCTGAATGGGTCGAGTCTTCCCCCTCGCTTCCGGACTGGGCCGCGGCCGTATGGGCATGGACAGCCAGCACATAGTTGTTCGCATATGGATCCATGAAATTCTCATCAATGAGAGTTCCTGGCGTGATAATACGAGCAACTTTGCGATCGTGCATCAGCCCACCAGACTTAATCTTCTCGGGCGCCTTGTTGGGGAACTCTTCAGCAATGGCGACGTAGCGATTCAGGTCCTGGACCAGGATCTTGAGGAAACGGTCCAGCTGGAAGAAAGGGAAACCGGCCTAGCCATCACATATCAGACCTGAGGACGATACGAGCACGGCGTTGAACAAAAGTGAGAAAGATTTACCATAGAAACGGGGCCCGCATTCGTCTTTTTCTGGGCGACCTTGAGGTTGAGCAAGGGGCCAAGCTCCTCGGCGTGCTCAAAGTACAGCTCGTAGAAGCCACCAACACGCGTCAGTAGCACGCAGTTGTCGAACTTTTGCATGTTTTGACGAGCCTGCAGCACCACGGTTGGATAGGCCGGTGCCTCATCTTGCGTGGGACAGGGATCTAACGGCAGCAAGAGTCCCTGGGGTAGATCGTCAAGCTTCACGGTTGACGTTGTTTTCTTGCCCCTGGCAAAGACACCAGCAGGCGATTGCCAGGACGGCATTCCCACAACCCCAACGTCTTGGCCGAAACCCCATCGATAGCCATTGCGGCGCAGGCGGAGAGATGCGGGGAT